AGTTTTTGTTAACAAAAGTGAAATCTGTGGCTTCCTGTGGCTGATAGCCGAGGCTGGCCTGAAACGGCGGTGGTAGAGGAGGGGAGTGAATTATGAGCGTATTCAGCCCAGGGAAGCTGCTCAGACCTAGAAGAGGGGTTACGAAAGGCAAGAGAACGTAAAACGAAAAACGGTCTATAATGGTTAAAATAACAGTGTTGCCTAACGACGTGGGGAGCCCAGTAATAAAATCAAGTACAACATGAGACCAGGGGATGTGAAGGAATGGGTAAGGGTCTCAAGAGTCCGGCTGGAGGAGTGTTGCTAGTCTTAGTCTAAGCGCACTCAGAACAAGAGGCAGCAAACCGACATGTATCTCGTTCACAAGAAGGCCACCAAAAATGCTAAGGTTCCCATAACACCGGAATGGGCAGCGAGTTTAGAAGAGTGAGGCCATTGAAAAATGGCATGACGCGCAGAAACTGGTACAAAAAGTAGGTTACTAGGACACGACTGCGGAGGAACCGTTCGAGAAAGAGCGCGTCTAACAAGTCTCTAATAGCCCAGACAACCGCCCGATAACGTGCTTCTCAGGGACTAAAGGGGTGAGGGGATCCTCAGCCTCTGAGGGACCAAAAAGGTGTGAGCGCCTCTGGCTTAACATTCTTAGTTCCAGGGCGATAAGAGATCGATAAAGTCGAAACAGGTAAAAAAAAAGCCCAATGCGCCTGACGAGCATTAAGTCTCTTAGCCCGAATAAATTCGAGATTCTTGTGAGTCAGTCCATACAACTAATGGGACAGATGGACCCTCTAACCACTGACGGCATTCCTCAAGGGCAAAACGAATAGCAAGTAGCTCGCGGTTTACCACATCATAGTTGCGCGCGCAGGGATGGACCCTATTATCGACAGGTGAGCACTGGGAGAGAATGGCTCCAACACCCAATTTGGATGTGTCTACCTTATAAACGATAAATTGCAAGGTTACGTCGGGGAATAACAGGACTGGAGTTGAAGTGAACAAGGACTTCAGATGATCAAATGAGTTCTGGGTAGACACAGAGTGACAATCTGACTGAAGTTACAAATAAAACAACGATAAAATTGGCGAAACCGAGAAAACGCTGAAGAGCATTTTGAGAATCTGGAACAGGCCGATCAGTGACTGCTTGCACTTTGTCAGGATCCATACTAAACCCTCTGGAGAGATTACCGAGCCCAGAAAGGAAATTGATTGGGCATGGAACTTACACTTCTCTGCCTTAACGAATAATTTATTCTCGAGAAGACGGTGAAGAATACAATGAACGTGCTGAACGTGTGCCTGAAGAGAGGGGAAAAAAATAAGAATGTCGTCAAGGTAAACAAAAACTTTAAGCATGTACTGAAGGACATCATTGACAAATGCTTGAAAGACTGCGGGGGCGTTGACCAACCCAAACGGAAGAACGCAATATTCAAAGTGCCCAAGGAGAGTGTTAAACGCAGTCTTCCATTCATCCCCTTGCTTAACACGGATAAGATGATAAGCATTACGGAGATCGAGTTTAGTAAAGATCTTGACTCCATGTAAAATCTCAAAGGCCGATGACATAAGCAGTAAAGGATAGCGATTCCTTATGGTTATGTCATTCAAACCATGATAATCAATGCACGGACGCAACGACCCATCCTTCTTCTTTACAAAGAAGAACCCAGCGCCGGCAGGGGAGGTATAGGCAACAATGGTACCAGCGCTTAAACATTCAGACAATTATTTCTCAAGTGCTTTGCGTTCTGGCGCTAACAGAGAATACAAACGTCCGCGAGGAGGCGTGGTACCAGGGAGGAGCTGAATGCTACAGTCATGTGGACAGTGAGGAGGGAGAGAGGCCACCCGTGACCGACTAAAAACCATTCAATGATTGTGATATTCCTTCAGAACACCTGACAAATCATCTGGCTCTTCCTGCAACACAGAGACAGAGGAGACAGGAGGAAGAGCAGAGGTTAGACACCCAACATGACATGAAACATTCCACGACACAACAGAACCCTCCACCCAATTAATCTGGGGATTGTGTTTAATAAGCCAAGGATGGCCTAAGACAAAAGGATAATGAGGGGAATGAAAAATCAAAAAGGAAATGGTCTCATGGTAGTTGGTTACCAGAGACCGTGACAGTCAAAGGAGAAGCCTCTAGTCTGACCCTCAGCAGAGAACTTCCATCAAGAGCAAAAAGAGGAGTGGCTTCATCTAACTCCTTCAAGGGAATACCCTGTTCACGCGCCCACCTCTCATCAACGAAGTTTCCTTCCACGCCTAAGTCAATGAGCGCCCTGCAGGGAAGAGAAGAACCTGGCCAGTGAAGGTGAACCTAAAAGGTGGTACAGGAGTTGAAGACTCCAGGGAAATCGCACTCGCCAGAAGCCCTCCCTTCACTGGCGAGCCCTGGCTTTTAACAGACATGACGAGAAGAAATGGGCGACAGAGGCACAGTAGAGACAGAGACGATTAACAATTCTTCGTTCTCGCTCCATCTGTATAATATGAATACCATCCAGCTGCATAGGTTCTGAGCCAGATGTAACAGAGGGAGAAGAGGGCAAGACCGCAGACCGGACAGGATTCTCTGCAGCTGGGTTGTGCTGGGCTGAGTATTCTGTCATGAAGGTAAGACAGCCAGACAGCAGGTGTGGAGAAATAGTATACTTTAATTGAGAGAGAGCTTGCCAGGGACATCAATAATCAACAAAAATATTCTCACTAAGAACTTAGAGCTTATTGAAGAAGGGTTAAGTTCAAATAAAATCACTGATCGAAGAAACAACTTAAATAGCTGACAGCCCAGTTGAGACAGTATTGATTGAAGATTACTAGTGGAATACAATAAATGTGATACAGTAACGTGATATGGTACAGTACTGTAAATACTCTAGATACAGTCTGAGTAGAGTAGAAGATATACCAGTTTTCCAGTCGGAATGTCCTTATTATGGATGAAACTGTGAAGCGGCTGAGATTAGCTCTTCCAGCTTCACTCATAGTCAGGCCATGGTTAATGGTTCAGTGTTTATTAAAAAAACATCCAATAATGCAGAATATGCAATGATAAATATTTAATTGATGAGCTGATAATGTATATAACAATCCAAAATTTACGGGTATGGTTTTACAGCTAAATTCAGCATATTGACACAAAATGATAACTGCAAATCCACCTTTGGCTGACTGGAGTCCAGTTGTTTCTGTGAATTGCAGCGATCCATTTGCTCCTCTTTCCATAGCAGTCTGTAAAAATATACCTCCGAATATACCTACCTCGTCAATATCAGAATATTTGAGATGACCAATCAAATCAAAGTAGGCGGGCTTTATGTTAAAAGACGCTGAGCGCGAATTTTAACGGAATTTTAAGACATCTTGCCATATCAAAAGTGGACATTTTTTGTAGAATGACCCAGCTACAGCATTTGAAAACTTCCTTTGAGCTAAATCCTCTTGATGCACGAGCCCAGATTACATCGCATGAGATTTTTTTCCATTCTAATGACTAATAGAATAATAATAATTATATAAATAATTATACTTTTTTACCTTGTTTTTGCCTTGTTGACAAAAATAAACATTAATCAAAATGTGTCATTCCAATTAACAATGCCTCATTGAAGACACTGTGACCTTTATAGTGGCCACTTCGTGTAGCATACAGAGTAATTTATGACTCTTAAAATGCACCAGAATACAAGATATCCCATCTGAATTTGAAAAATTTTCCTGAGGGAGGACTCGGGACCTCACTTCACTCTTTTGCCTAGGGCCCTCAAATATCTTGAAACGGCCCAACATGTGCAAAGACATGCAATGCATTTTTGTAGGGTTTTTTTTGTAAACGCATGTTTTAAGTGTTATCTTTGCATAATTTAAAAAAGAGTCTGCAACACAGAAGTTGTTATTTGTTATTTGAAATGTTATTTTCCTACAACCCAGATAGCAAACTGACATTGAATCAACGTGGAAATATGACATCGAAACAACGTTGATCTGACATTGTTTTGCTCATCGAATTAACGTTGAACCAACGTCAGACGCGTCATTCTTTCAAAACTAACGGAAAATCAACTTGAAATCACCGCGTTGTTTCAACGTTATGAAAGCAAACCAGTTTTCGATTTTCATTTAGCTTTGAAAAATTCCGCGTCTGACGTTGGTTCAACGTTAATTCGATGAGCAAAATCAACGTTGTTTCAATGTCATGAGAGACGTCGTTTCCACGTTGATTCAATGTCAGTTTGCTGTCTGGGAAATGCCTACTAATTAGAATAAAATTTGGTTTTATATTCGCATATGGTAGTAAATGGCACTACATGGTACTATCTGATACAGTTACTTTGCAGAATGTTCCCCAAATGTTATTGTATTGTTTTAATTTGTTTTAGTTTTTTTTTAACCAATTTTTAAGGTCCCAAGAACATTCTTTTAAAGTTTTGTTTTAAAAAATCACACTGCCACCAAGTTTTCTCCAAATATGCCTACTCCATAAAAAATAAATAAATACATAAATAAAAAATAAAAAACTGATTGTGAGCTGAGTATCATGTCTGAATTCCTAGTATTCATAAAACAGTAGATGAAAAGTACCCTGGTTCAAACTGCCTTGAGAATGGCCATTTAATGGCTATTTATCACAGTTTTTCTGTTTGGAACAAAGGACAGAATCAATGCATCAGTTGTCCTACATTTACATTTACAAAGATACTTCAATGATCAATTTAATAAAGATTTTTAAATTACTCCCAATTCTACTTGTCATGGAATAGACACGCCCTAGTCATTGCAGATGATATCTTATATGTCAACAGTCAGACATTAGACTCACAGCACACATTTAGGCCAACATATCCCCCACAGACCTCTTGTGAGACAAGCCAGTTTGGTCATCAACTTTCCTGATGAGCCTCAACAGCTGCGACTTGAGTCTGGCCTCAGCATAAATACTAGGGCACTGCCATTTAGCCTCTTTTATCCATGCACAAGCACAGTTCTGGACTGAGCCTTTAAGAATCAAGTCTCTGTCATACACTGTCCAGATATTCAGTGATTACTTCACTGAAAGAATAGTTTTTGTGTCATTTTTCATTTTATTTGTTGATTAGCATTGGATACTGGGCAAAATGAAGAAGGAAACCAAGACAAAAATCTTGTTTTTTGTAATATTGGTGGGCTCAGTGTCCATGTTAACAGCGGTGGTGACAGACCACTGGGCTGTGTTGAGTCCTCGAGTGGAGAATGTAAACACAACTTGTGAGGCAGCCCACTTCGGCCTTTGGAGACTTTGCAAGAAATACATCTATATTGAGGATGAGGCATTTGTTGGTAAAAGCTGTGGACCTATCAGCTTACCGGGGGGTAAGTGACAAAGTGAGAAATGTTGATCAGATAAACAGGACTCTCTGAATCTCTGGCTTAATATCCTATAAAGTCTCTGCATAATGATTGTTTAATAGATCTTTTTTTTTCTTTCTTTGTATTCACTTAATGAGGTGAAAATTGATAATTATTTATTTTGAAAACATGGAAGCTAGTGAAAGTAAATATCGATGGATTAAAATCAACACATGTCTTCGGAGGTTAAATGTTGGGGAGCATGTCTTAACTTAAAATTTGCTTTACTCCTGAACATAGTATGTGTAGGATTTAGGTTGAATTGCCTCAAGCTGAATTTTTCACAGTAAAGTAATGATGTCTGTCTCTAATTAGATCACATCTATCTATAATTACATTTCTAATTCTTCATATTAATTACCTAATAAGGATCTGTTTTAGATATGATATAACGTCACAATGTTTGTTAATGTTATTAATGAAAATTATTAACAAATTATTTGCTGTTACACAATAATTATGCACAGGATTAAGGTTCTTACTCATTATCTTAAAAAAGTTGCTCCAAAGGTCCGTGTTACATGGTTGAAAATTGTTTTGATTTGGTGACTAACCAATTTAATTAAAAGGTATGATAATTGTGTCTAAACTCCTGCTGTCATGGTTTTGGTTTTGTGTCTTGTTCCTTGTTCTTGTCTGTCATGTGATTCCCTTTGCCATGTGTCTTGTCAATTGTTCCCAGGTGTTTCTTATTAGCCACACCCACTTGTTATCTTGGTTGCCTGTGTATATAAGCCCTGTGTCCTTCAGTCTTTGTGTTGTTGTTGTAGTAATGTGTGCTTTAGTGGTTTCTTGTCCTTGGTCCTGTCCTGAGGTCCTTGTTCTGTCATTGGCCTTGGATTACCTGTTTGTACAATTAAACTCTGTGCTTGCATTTGGATTCTGCTTTCTCCTTCTCTGCCGCATTGTTACACCTTCCTCTTTCAAAAAAAAGAAAAAAAAAGAAAAGATATCCACTGTTATAAAACCAAGAGATAATCAGAGGTTTTTAGAGTGTCTTCAAAGAGAGTTCTTTTATTCATCTATCCCTTAGTCAGGCCTGCAAATCTTCAGGGAATTCCCTGTCTGTGGAAGTTGTTTTAAGTGTTATGACAGCTCATGGAGATCACTGCTAACCAAAGGATGTGCCTAACAGGTGTGGACTATTTGTATCTTTTAAAAAAAAGAGGTGACAATGCCATACCCTGTAGCTATAATACCAATACAAAATACAAATAATGCTGCCTTTTTTGGACCCTATCCCTAAAGCCCACCTCTACTCCTAACTCTAACCCTAATCATATTTACCTGCTGATTTGTAAAAGTATCCTTAAAGGTCCATGTTCACCATATGAGCTGTACGTGGTCAACATGTCAGCTTGTTCAATCAACATGAGGACACCACATCCAATTTCAATTAGGCCCATAAGCCAGCCTGATCTCATTGTTAATACATAACGTAACATTACGACTTTACAGCTGCAAAACATTAACTATTTAAATATATTCCATATCATAAAGATATCTGTAGCCTATAATTTCCCTATCCAGAATATAAAAAGGATAAAACGTAATGGACAGAGATGCATAGGGAAATGGCAGTTTTATTAACAGTATAGCATTAAAATATGTTTTGACTAATGCTACTCCTACTCCTACCCCTAAACCTATCGATAACCATTCCTTAAAACTACATAGACTACAATGAAGATAAACATAATAGACAAACAACTATAATCACAATAATTTATAAAACTGGTACCAAAAGTCGTTTACATTATGTGTTGCAATCGCAGTCCTCTCTGGCAGTATTATAATAGTTTTGTATGAGGTAGGCTACAGAGCGTAATTTAAGTTAATTAAAGCTGCAAGCATCATTTAGCGGTGTTCAAGCAATTAAGCCCTTTTAGCACATAAGCATTAAAGACATTTAGCAAGCATGTAACCACTGACATAGTAAATGGAAAACCGTTTACCATGATTTACCATGATAATTTACCATATTTTACCATGATTTACCTCGCTCTGGTATGATTTACCATGCATCTAGCATGATTTTCCATAGTTTACCATGTTCTAGGATGATTTACCTTATTTACTGTGATTTACCATGTTTCTAGCGTTATTTGCCATGATTTACCACTTTCATAGCAATTATGTGAAGCATCAGTACAATTGAAGTTTTAAACTCTGACAAAATATGATTGTGTTATAATAGTAACTGTTATATAAAGGATTTGTTTAGTGTCTATATATGAATGCAAAAGCACATGTGTAAAGATTATTAATCAGTAGAGTGGCCAGCAGAGGACAGTAGAAGACCACTTATTGCTCACTTTCATTTTGAACTACTTTGTTTCACCAGTATTCTGTACTAAAGCAAACCAGTTTTTTCATGTTAACTTCATAATGCATGCTTACACACACACACACACACACACACACACACACACACACACACACACACACACACACACACACACACACACACACACACACACACACACACACACACACATTTTTGGCATATGTTATTGTGAAAATCTCTTTTAATTGTCATAAGCATTTCACTTATTTCTTTGTAATGTAATAATATAAAACTAATTTAAAAACATTGCTTTAAGCGTTTGTTTGTTAGCCAATGCTGAAAGCTGATCAAAACGATTCAAAATGCCTAATGCTGCTTCTCACTCTAGTGGACAACAGTGGTTTTACAGCATACATCTACAATATGCCATGTTTTTCATATAATTTAATCTACACACACCCATTCTATTGTAAATACAGACATTTTGAGCTTCAGGATCCAATGTGACTCAATTGTCACATCAATAAATGATTTCTGACTAAATGTGATTGTAAATGTTAAAATAGTGAATCAATGTCAAGACGCAGCCCACATAGATGATGACGTAAACGTAAAGTTCTATAGTGCGCTCACATTATTGCAGTGTGAAACCAAACCAAAATTTTCTGAAAGTATAAAATGTATCAAAACATGAACTTTGGTTCGGACCTTGGTGCGTACTTTCAGGTGTGAAAACGTACGCCCTCAGTTTCACATTTGAGAGAGGACTGTACCATCATCATCATCAAATAAAACCTTCAAAATCCACATTTAGATGGAGTTTGTTTTAAACCCACTATCCTCCATCTGTTTGTATCTGTAGATTTCTTATTAATTCACCAATTTAGATTTCTAAATTTCAGGAGAAAAGACTCTTGATGTAAGTCATTAACTTTAATAATAAGAATTTTAGGCCATAAAAAAGGTAATAAAAACATACTGATTTTCCATTCAAGGTCATAAATTACATTTAGCCACGTCTTAAATTGACATGGTGATTCATTCATTATTGTGATATAATTTTTCTCGATAAAACGATATCAGGTTCAATAATGTTTGTGCCAAAAGCGGAACGAAACTCATTTGAACTGCTTGTGCCTCACAGACTGTTTATCTGCTTGGCGCAAAATCCAAATGCAGTGCAGCGCGAGCTTACCAAGGGGGTAATCCATCAACCGGAAGTTGAAGCCTCGTGGGAGCTGCCATCTTGTAGCAGAACTTCACTTGCGTTAGCATTTCCATCGACTCCCATTCATTTTGACAGCGAATAACTTTACATCTGAGGCGTTTGAAGACCCCATTTGTCCTTTATTTATTTCTAAAGAAACACGACAATGTATAAAATGTTCCATTACCTTGTAGCTTATGTTATGGCCCCGTAAAAGCAGTTTTTTTGTAAAAGTTGGCTAACGATTGCATCATAACCAAGCGACTCTCTGTCGCACAGAGAGATTACCGTATGGACAGGAGGAGAAGCTCGCAGGCAATCGGGGAAACGTGGAGGCAAAATGACAAAATAATTCATCAGAACACCTAGCAAAAGTGTCTCCTGCTCCTAGCTCATGGACAGCTCCGCTCTCACACACTCTCCGCCGCATGTTTCGGAAGGGAATGATTCAGATTTCTCATGTCACAGCCACTATAGACAGACGGTTTGCTCTCGTCACATCTACGTCGTCAAGCTCTGTTTGAGTCTGCGCGTGCTAAAAAATCGCCAAAAACGGGCTTCACTTGTCTTAATGGAGTTCCAATGAGATGGCTCTGTCCACTTCTTATACTGTCTATGGAGCTTACCGGTACTAGAGCAGGCGCGTTTACTCTGATCGGTGCTTCAGAGAGGAAGCGCTTCAGAACTCTGACCTGATATTTGGAATCACTATTCAATAAATATATTTGTTTGACAGGGAAGCTGTGCGCAAACAGCAATATATATTATTTGCACCTATATATAAAATGCACCCCAGAAAAAAATGGCTCTTTCACTCCAAGAAAAAAGGCAGGTGCTCAAGCCCCTTTTGATGTATATGTGTGCACGTGCCTGACCCCAAACTCTGCTTGATTTCAAATCTAGACGTTTCAAAATGATACAAAATTAATCAAATAGAAAGTCAATAAAATGAGGTTGAATTTAACCAATTGATTGTTTTTAACACATGACACAACATACCCAGCTGTGTGTGTGACTGGTCTTGTAAATGCAGTCAGTAAAATCTATAATTAGGCTGTGTAAATAGTCAGCTGTCCCAAGATGGGAGACACTCTTAATTTAAGAGTGGTACAATTCCATTTCTGTGACGAACGGTCACATCTGAGAGAACAGTATACCCATTGGCCCTTAAATGATACCCCTTCGACTGTGGCCCATCATTAAAATCATTTAAACTTATGGTAACAGTCACATGTTTTTGAGAACATATCAATATTTTGCTGATCTCTGTCTATGTAGTATAAATAAATACAAATAAAAAATACATGACTTGTGTGTTCTTCCTCCCCCTCTTTACCTATAAGCGGATGCTAATTGTAAGGACAGGTGGACAGACAGGTGGATTTGATTTAAAATTACAGAATTAGTTTGGAAAGATACATTCATCTGCTGTAAGACATGACATTAGTCCATTACTTTTAACATAGATCCATGACAGTTTCAGGGAATGAATATTAGGAATGAGACTGCAACATAATTTATGTCTATAGTTTTTTTTTAATATGACAGAGCAAAGTTGATACTATACTATCAACTTTGCTCTGTCATATTAAAAAAAAACTATAGACATAAATTATCTTGGACATTTATGCTCCTGAGAGGCAGTTTTTATCCACTCAATTTCATTGCCAGACATTGCATGAATACAAGTCACATGCTTCATGTAATACTGCTTGTATATTTGGCACTCAATACTTAACATGCAACTCAGAACTAAAGCAATATAGTTGTGAAACCAGACCTCATCAGTCATTTCTGTAAATAAAACAATACAATTCCAGGTAAACCAGGTTGCAATTTGTTCCCTTTTTTTTTAAATAGTGATTGAATACATTAGGCAGAAGCGATTGCAACAGTATGCTTTGATAAGACAGTCTTTGTCATACTAGTGGCCTCATGGAGCCAACTCTGAGTCGTTTGCATTTGTCAAAATAACTCAACATATATTTAGCTGCTCTTGAAAATGCATTTATATATATATATATATATATATATATATATATATATATATAAACCTTTGCAGTTAACACTTCAGGCAACTGGCAACTCAACAATTCCTGTAAGGGTATGAATAAACTCAGTCTTATAATACACATATCATCAATAGTAGCCAGCAAAAGGAAAATACATGTCCCCCTTGAGCATTCTTACATGGGATTTCATTCAAATGTATAATTTAAATAAAATAAAAAAACGTTTTGTTTTTGTTTTTCTCAGAAATCAACTGCTCTTACTTCAGACATTTCACACCAGGCGAAGATTCTGAAATCTTTGAAGTTAAAACTCAGAGAGGTAAGTTCATATAGTCAAATCAATTCAAGCCTGGACTGACATTATACTGTATTGGTTGGAGTATGCTTTTGTGCACCTTTATTTTCTTCTGCGGTATGTACTGTGGGTGAAGCAGTGGAAGGAACATATAATGAAGGATGAAATAAGAAAGAATCACAGTGGAAGAATCGTAGTGGACAGTTACACTGTTTTGGGGGGGAATACAGTGTGCAGACAGAGTACAGAAACTGTTTATAGACCATTTCACAAGATGTAAACAACACTCCAGAAACACTTCCTGTTTGTAACTGTTTTCTTTATTTCACATGTAAAGAAAACATCTTAAAGATGTTTGTTTAACTTTCTGATTCAGTTTTAAATGTTCTGTTGGTTGTATTTTATCCCAGCTTTTATGTAGTGTTATAAAACTGAAACAGGAAGTGCTTCTGGACCAGTGTTGTTTACATCTTGTGAAATGGTCTATAGAGGGTTCTAGGGAAATAGGTCTGAAGCATGAGTCATAACATATTTAAACGTAATTGTTATTGACATTTGATTCACTGTCATAATTTAAAATAGACATGTAGCTCTTTCTGATTTCTCTACTCAGAATACAACATCTCAGCAGCAGCCATATCCATCTTCAGTCTGCTCTTCATGATTCTGGGCACATTGTGTGTGTTGTGTTCCCTCAGAAAGGGAAAGGACTATATGTACAAGCCTGCTGGGATGTTCTTTGCTTTTGCTGGTAAGGTGGAACATCTAATCACAGCTTCACTTGCCTTACCTGAAACAAAACTATAGACAGACATCCAAATAGATACACATTCATTTTTAGATTCCACAACATTTTTACATTCATGGAAAATATATAGAAATCTTTAATAATATCTTTTCATATCTTTGTATTCAGGTCTGTGTGCCATCATCTCAGTAGAGGTAATGCGTCAGTCAGTCAAAAGGATGATAGAAAGCAAGGACACTATCTGGATCGAGTATTACTATTCTTGGTCTTTTTCTTGTGCGTGCACGGGTTTTGTCCTGCTCCTCCTCAGTGGAATTGGTCTACTGCTCGTTTCCATGCCACAGATACCAAGAAATCCATGGGAAACCTGCACGGACGCTGAGCCTGAACAGATATAGAGCAAGAACGCAGGTAAACCATTGACTCACAATATACCTAGACCTCTTTGATACAAAGTGAGAGCTTGACAAGCAGAGGTCATTAAATTAGCTCAGAAACTTCCTCCCACCCCTCTAAAAACTGGCACTGAACAATATAGGTTTGTAAGACCAAAATCATGCCAGAAAGTATCCAAGCTTTTCAATCTTTATATTATTAATGTCTATATGTCAAATCTTTAAATGTAATATGAAGAGTGCAGCTGTCTTTATGAAACTGGAATTTTTGTGTAACAATTCTGTACATAAACTTTCCCTGCATGTCTGTTTAAGACACTGGAAGGGTTTAAATGGAGAAGGGTTGAAGAACAATTGTGATTGCAAGGACTGAACAATTGTGATTGCAAGGACTTATCTTGTTTATTAACACCTGGTTAACATATTCGAAAAATTATGTTTTTTGGAAAGTTCATCTGCACTATTTTGCAGATGGGGAGTATTAAGAAATAGGAATTAGGAATAATAAATCTCAATATTCAGTGGTGTAATGCCACACAATTTTGCTCCAGAAAGCATTATTCACATCCAGTAAATGAGTTTAGGATGTTTTTTTTTTTTTTTTTTAGATGTGTGAATACTGCTTTAGTTTTGTGTAAATCTAATTTTAACAATAATTATCTTTTGCCTTGGGTACAGTGTTGCTCTCAACTCTGAGCAGAATGTAAATGTTTGTTCTGCTGTGCTTACTGAATGATTGGCCATTTTAGAATATCGTCAGGTCTTGCAGGTGCATAGAAAAATGGCATCAGTATCACCCTTATGTGAAGGAGTAAAATTACTCTTAGACTTTCAAAGTCTACAGCTTCCTGAAATGCACCCTCAAACTGTGTTTATATGCTTGAAATGGATAGGTGTATGATAGTATATAAATTTTGTTTCAAATTTCTAATTTGCTCAGTATTTTTGCTGATTATAATTTCCACAATACTAGCAACAATAGTTTTAATACACTAATTTTCAGCAGGTTTTCTTCAGGATCTTTTCAGGAACTGTGGTAATTTTGTGGTCTGCACAAACTGTTTATCTGTTTTAAACAAACATAGTTTTATTAAAACATATATTGCTGGATTTCAAAATGATGGATTTTGATTGTGGGGATCACTGTCACTGTCACAGTCACACTGCCTAAACAAACACCATAGTGGTGTAGGAGCCATAGCCTTTTGGGCAGCGCTCCAACATCTAGTAATACATCCTTTAGGGTAACCCAAGTTCAAGTCACTGATTCCTATCTATAACCAAGACCAACAATATAATAATAATTATACAAATCCAGCTGGGTGAACATACTGACCCCAAAAAATCTTGGTGTTTTTCTGCTTGTGGGGGAAGTTAAAAGTCATTTACTGAGGCAAATACTTAAAAATGCAATGTCATCGTGAATACTTTGTATTTATTTCTTTTGATGTTGTTTGCATGCAGAACAAGAGGCCGGATATTTGGATTGTATTATGCTACCCAGCAGAATATATGTATTTCTGATATTAGACCCCTATGTATTTCTAATAAAAAAGGAATAGGCTTACTCCTGTGTTCATGCTAACATTTATTTTGCCTCTGTTATTGTGTGATTCATTAAAAATGCCCTAAAAAGATTTTGAGTCACAACACTGGTTTAAATACAGCATGCACCAGAGGTTTTGATATTCAGGTTTTCTCATTATTTTTAATATTTATATACCACTGTATGAATTTAATGTAGTGTATATAGGGTGGAGGTACCTCTGACTGTTTGTTTGAAATGGGCCTCTGGTTATGAATTCGAAATCATTCATTCTAATGAGAGATGCACACATCAGTTGTCTCAGCTGAAGACATATCTTTTCAAAGGTACTGCAGTAATATTTTAATGTTGCACCTCAGGGAATTCATTGTATAGAGACATCAAGACTCTGGGATTCCTTTAAGCTTGCATGATGCCAAATGGACAATGCTGAAGTAGGTACAAGCAGACTGTACCTTTAACACAGGGGTGTCCAAACTCTGTCCCGGAGGACCACTGTCATGAAGAGCTCCAACTTGCCTCAACACACCTGTCTGGAAGTTTCTAGTTTGTCAAGTAGGACATTGACTTGCTGGTTCATGTGTTTAATTGGGGTTGGAGCTAAACATTGCAGGACAGTGGCCGTCCAGGAGTAGATTCCAACACTCCTACTTTAGAGCTTGAAGATTACCTCTTACTGTAAAAAATGATCGTGATTTTAACAGTAAAAGACTGTAAAAATGCTACAGTGAAAAACTGTTAATTGGTTAACAGAACCTTTCCTTACTACATATGGTAAATAACTGTGATATATCTTATGGTAAATTTCATGTAATTTTACTGTAAAATACTGTTAAATTTACAGTTTTTAAAGTGAAAATGAACAACTCATCGTATAAATCACAGTGAAAAAACGTAAATTGACATTCCCACAATTCCCTGCGTGACACTCCACACGATGTATTTTTGTTGAAATAACTTGTTTCTTCATAGTTTGCTTAGTCTTTTTCTAATCAGTTAGGTACTCGTGAGCTTAGAATTATAAGGTTCTATCTCCACTTTTGGTCGAAATTGAGTTTTTGACATAATCTGATCCATTAGGTGTTTATTAATGCCTGTGTGGTGTTATTTTTGTAAAAAAAAATATTTTGTTAGTAGTTATTAATAAAATAAAAAGGTTCCATCTCACAAAACATAAACCGAGTTGGGATTATAAGGTTCTATCTCCAGTAGATTCAATATCCAATCAAAACCCTGAATGAACACGGACGGACCAATCAAAACACAAGATTGTGAGTAAGATTGTGTTTTGTATAAACACTGCTTTGTTTTGCGGTACTGGAAAAGTATCTGGGAAACCAACGGCACAGATAGAAAATGTGGCATAAAGACAACTACAGAGAAAATAATTTTATACGAAAACACCCTTCAATTTAGGAAGTACTGTACAGGTGCTAAGCAATGCAATTGTCAGGTATTAGGTGTTTATTAATGCCTGTGTGGTGTTATTTTTGTAAAAAAAATTTTTTTTTAGTAGTTATTAATAAAATACAAAGGTTCCATCTCACAAAACATTAACCAAGTTGGGATTATAAGGTTCTATCTCCAGTAGATTCAATATCCAAGCAATGCAACTGTGACTGTTTATCCTGTTGAGTCCTGGACAGTGCCTCAGTGGGTCCCATTGTCTAATCTGTCTAATATTTATCCATGTTCAAGTACATGCCTGCAGTTGACAAAGCATACTACAAGGCAGTATTTAGAAAGTAAAGATAGAAGGTTGGAAAGAGTCATGACAACATAAATTACACAACATGAAGTACATCATACATAACAAAACAGACATACAGAATAATAAGGGATGAAAACATAATTTTCATGATGTTACAATATTTTGTGTTAATCTACTAAATTAAACGTTTTTAATGTAAGATGCTTCCTAAATGTTTTTTTACAGTACAGAGGAGTGAGGTGTAGTATTGTGTAATTACTCCATGTCCATGTTCTTTGAAAAAAAAAATTTTTTCTTACAAACTTGCTTGCTTGGCTTTGATACTATAGTATTATATTATATTATCAATGGTTATATACAATTATTCTTTGAAATGTGGGGTTTTATTTGTAAAAGTGGAGATAGAACCTTATAATTTCAAACAGAATCAGAGCTCTCAGACTTAAAAGGTTCTATCTCCATTGGGGTCATCTTAAAAAATCCCATTTCCAAATGTGCCAGGATTTTGATATTTTATTCACAAAGTACCTGTAGGGTGATGGTCTTGTTGAGCTATAATAGAAGATTACACTACATAACAGTTTTGGCAGCTGGGATGTAAAAACTTTGATGCTTAATATCTCAGAACTACCCTAAACGGAGATAGAACCTTATAAGTCTAAGCTCAGGTGCTGTTAAAGTAATGTTTATTGCCTTTTTAAAATTTCATGAGTTTTACCACGATGGTGTTTAATGTTTGAGTGAATGACACTGTGCCGCTTCTATATGTTAACATTAAGTTTCTTGTGAAAAAGCTACATGTGATGTTTCCATATATTTCCATGTATCTTGTGACCTTCATTACTGCTGTGATTGATGGATGTCAGTATATTACAATGGTATAAAATATGTGTAAAACTTTATTACCGTAAATTCTTGCTACCGTATTTTATACGGTAAATTTCTGGCAACCAGCTGCCGGTATTTTACCGTAAATTGAACACATTTTTTTTTTACAGTGAACCCACACATATTATCATTTAGACACAGCCATAATTTAATTAAAATTACATTTTAATTATAATATTAAAGTACAAATTATTATTGGTTGTTACAGTATAAGGATATCTTTGGCCATTTATATTTCAAATTAGTTGCACAAGATCCATATCTCTCCCATGTTTAAACACAGTGCATGGATTAGTAATGCATGAAAAGGATTTGACAGATAACCAAATCCAGGCGAAGTAGCAGAATCTAAATGGAAAAAAAATCGTTCTGTTGTTGCCAGGTTTCAACTAGACCCAAACAATCCAAGTTTTGATCAATAATAAGATCATTGATAAGGAGGCCTTTGTTGGTGATGGAACGGACGTTGTAGAGGGCAAACTTGTGTAAAGTGGTACATGATTTTTTGACAAATTTTTGCCAGTGGAATTAACACACTAACAGATCAGAGCCTTTCTTCTTTCAAGCTTGTGATGGCCCAGCAGTCCAAAATGAATTGATAGACCTGACCTGTTCCTTGTCGGAAGTGCAGTAGTTTCGCCGAGAGCCACGGTGGATATATTTTGGCTGCCGAAGGAGAATGTCTCGATGGAATTTGAGACTTCTCGGCAGTTTTGTTTGCACCGAGGTTCGCAGTCGGTGTAATTCATTAGGTGAGTACTTCAGTGTTTTCTTGGTTGTGATGGTAAAGACCATAGTTGAAAGAATAATCCACAGTGGAAGCGAAATGTTCACCATCAATTCAGCTTATATCCGAACTTAATCCGCGCAAACTGATCAACAAGATACTAAAAGAAAAGTTCTAAAAAAAAAAAAATTGACAAATAGGCAGCAGCAGCAGCATGAATAAACAAAAAAAAAATAATAATAAATAAATAATACATTTTATTTGTAAATCGCATTTCTCAGTCTCTAAGCGCTACAACCTGTAGCCTACAGAACAAAATAATCAAATATGGAAAAAAATGCATAAGTATAAAAAAATACACATAAATAATAAAATTATAAATGAAAAGCTTGACTAAAAAGATGTCTTAGGAAGTCTCTTAAAACAGAACCAGCATCCCTAATAGATGCAGGTAGTGTGTTCCATAACTTAGGCACGTTATAGGACAAGGCGGTTACACTTTATTTCGATAGTCACTTTAGACATTCTACTAACTATAAGTAACTTTTCAACTACATGTCAACTAACTCTCATTAGAGTATTAGAATATTATAGTAGACTGTCAGTATACTGTTAGGTTATGGTTAAGTGTTAGGCTTTGTGTTAGGAGAATAAGTTTACTTGTAGTCACCAAGTTACTTATAGTCAGTTGAATGTCTGTTGGGGGACCAACAAAATAAAGTGTTAGCAGATATTAAGCTGACATTCTGCTACTCTAATGACAGTTAGTTTACATGTAGTTGAAAAGTTACTTATTTGTAGTAGAATGTCTAAAGTGTTACCTCAGTTTGTTTTCATTTGTCACGTGTGTTCCACAGTCTTGAGTTTCCCGCCACCAATCTGTTTCCATGGACACTAATCACATTCCTCACAGCTGCCTGTCATTTGTCCTAATCGTCCCTGTGTATTAGTTCCTGCTTGTATTAAGGTCTTTGTCTGTTTGTGTGATACACTTCAAGCCCGGAACACACCAAGCCGACACAGACGAACTAGCGCTGATGAAAGTCGACTGTGTTGTCCCCTCTTGTCCCCTCTCGTCCGCTCCCGTCGAGGTAAAAAGCTGCACTTGAACACACCGAGAGAACTGCAGCCGACAGTCAGTTAGAATGTGCGTTCTGCGCCTGCGTTTAATGAGCCAACTGTCTATTTCTGCAGATATATTAGGCTACGTCCACATTAATCCGGATGCATTTAAACACTGGGTTTTCGTTTAAAAATGCTCTCCGTTCACACTAGCGTTTTCAGGTGTTTTCCGACGTTTCAGTGTGGATGAGAAACTTCTAAATTCACTTTACTGCGCATGCGTGAAACTTCACAAAAGCTCACTGAGATGATACAGATGGGAAAATAAATAATAATGTCATCGCACAATAACAGGATACTTTTATTTAGCAAAATATCTCACCATCACTGATGCGTCCAGGTCGCATTCAGTCACCATATGTTTGGTCTAAGACGCAACTGCTCTCCTGTTTTGCCGCAGAACAGCAAATGTGAGTAGACTACATTACCCAGATAGCACTGAACGTCTTGCCGACGTTGGCAATTGGAGGGCACCAGCGGCAAAGTATCGGGAGGGGATTTTCCCCTGCACAACAAAAAACTTTGGTGGGTAAACCATCGGCGGGCCGCGGGATGAATAGCCACTTTAAATGCACAACTCCGGAGATCGGTGGAGGAACCGTGATGAACCATTTTGCCGATCCCGCTTCTATTTTTTTAAATAAATAATATCTGCGCAACCGTTGGTCCACATCAAGACCTTCACGCGCGTGCACACGTTTTTATGACGGTGCGCTATGCGCGTGAGTGATCTCAGCATCGTCTACACTACACCCTACAGCTAAGTCTACAGCAACGGACTCTGTGAGTATGTTTATCCTTTTCAAACACACCGTTTTCAGGCCAGTAAGTGTTTATTTTGTTTTATGTACTTATTTTTTCATTGAAAAATATAATTTTGTTAGAAAACGTCGAGTTTTCTGAGAAATGTTTACGATACGGATGACAGAGATTGGCGGCGGAGGATCAACAGTTATTTTCTAACTGTTGACTTTAGTAATTATTAACTGTTTTATGTTCTCGCATTAAATATTTTCAATTAGTTATTTTTGACAGTAGCCTATGTATTTTTAGACATGAGGGGAACTCGTTTTTCGTCAGTCTGAGGATAACCAAAACACTCAGGCTAAACTAATAAACGGTCATAAAACTATGGACTGACTTTTTTCCAAACAATCATACATCTGTCCATTTATAATATTAACCCCTTACACTCAAGGGATTTTTAATTATTTTGTTTAAGTGACATATGCTTAAAATTAAAGCAGCTCTTTTGTTGTGCGTTTACCGTGAAAAGTAGACCTGTCAATCAAAGACCTAGTTTAGTACAAGCGCGCATGCCACTAGACAGTCATACAAAGAAGTGGTTAGCTATAGTAAAGTGATAGTAAGTGAAGACACACAGCTATTCATAAAAAATAGAGCCTTAACCTTTGTTAAACAAAATAGAATGGTCTTTTCTGTTTTTTTCAGTGAGTGATTGATCTAGAAGTCATCCTACAGTTCTGAATTGCCATTTTCTTAACATACTGTTTTAGTTAATAAAGATAAATTGAGTGCACATTAATTCACAAAGGCATTTGCAATATATTTGACTCCTTTTCATGTTTCGTCTTTTTCTCAACAGGAGCTACATACACCCCAAAGGCTCTTTTCAGAGCCCAGGCCCATTTTGCACAGCGTCTTTGCCTTTGTACAGTAAGTATGTGTTTTAATTGACCTCAAAGACAACTGAAACACTATCTTTAACTAATCTAGTTAAAAGTTATTTTGCACATGATTTCCATTACACGAGAGTAGATGTTAAAACTTCATGCAGATTTGTACTCGGCTTTCGCCAAGATTAGCACAAACTAAGACGTAGCTTTATAGTAAACTATGCTTCTCCATCCATTTACACTTCTTTCCATATGTTGGTGTGACTCCCCTTCTGTCCGGCATTACGGCTGGAACTACAGTATGGTCTTCCCAGTGGACCAGCACCACATCCATCTGGATTGAGACGAGTAGGGGACATCTCTAGGGTCTTCACATATTGATACACACGTATGTAATAACTTTCCCCTGTTTGCTTGTCTTGATTATTGGCATCCTAAGATCCTAAAAAATGTGACCTTTACCTGTCTCTGCCTTTACTGTCTGTACTATTAATTTTGCATCAGGAAAGCCTATACCTTATAGTGGAGCGAGTGGACTAGTAGCAAAGGAATGGTTTACAGGTAGGCCAGGGCAGTAATGTAGTGGAAATATTTATCTTTGACCTAAATAAGGCTACAGGAGAACTCCATTGTCAACATCAGGTTAATGCTGAGTGCTGTAACGTTGCAAATTTTATGTTTATGTTGGTATAGATATTTGTCAACTGTCTATCACTGTCAATAAAAGGTATTTTTTGTCACTCAGCAAATATGATAGAGGCATGGCAAACTCAAATTTTTCTGGACACGATAATTTACATTTGCATGCTTGTTTATTTTCCTCGTCGTCTCTCTCTGTCTCTCTATACCAAAGAGACTGGATGACAAACTCTCGGTTCCTTAGCGTGAACTAGAGCTTAGATTCTCTGACCGAGCAAGGACTTGACCCGACCTGGGCTGACACTATCCTCGGGTCGGGCCTTAGATCTAGAGACGTGCACTCCCAACGCAATAGAGTGCGGCGCTGCACTAGATTCGATGGCCGAGTGCAAGCGGTAATGCACTCACTCTGTGTGTGCGGGTTGCGGGAGAATAAACCGATTTGCGGTACTCCCGCAAACTAGAAATATTTATTTATAAAACATATAAAAACTAATAGATTTTTAGTCATCTGCAAGAACAACTAAAACAAAGTAGTAACGATTTACAGGCTAGAGTTTCTATTTATAACATGTTTGCATTATTGAGCGATGTAGCCAATCACATGTTGATTTCTTGAACGCCAATCAGAAGCATTTAAGATATACTTCCCTCACTGCTCAAAACAGACTTTTTTTATTCAGTGCTGAATTCTGTATGCTGGCAAATCCTCTAATTATAACAAACAAAGTGTAGCCTAGATATTATATGAGATTCATTGTGCAGTCAGCTTCATTGGTAATAACAGAGATGTGTGAGATCATGATGAACTGTCAGCTTTTTTGGAATTATTAAGGGAGCCCATTCAGTCATGCCAGACAATGCACGCAGTAGCTGCTTGCTTTATGTTAAATTAACAGTGGTTTGTGCGTTAATGTTTTAATAACAAATAATTTAGGGTATGGTCGGGTTTTGTTTACAACCATTTTATTTGTATTTTGGCTATTTATTCAAGTGCATTTTCTGTTAACCGGGACATTGCTTTTATTGTTTTTTGGTTGTTTTGTTCATTTATTTTGTATATTTAAAATGTTTTCCAATTTCAGTGAGCTTCATATGTTTTTTGACTTTTTGATCATCCTCTTTGTATCACACAGAGTATGTCACCCATGTCATATTTCTCTCGATGTGATCAATATGATAACTAATCTTTGTAAAAACGTTTCATTTACAGACCATTGCAACTTAGATCACCATCACCACCACCATCCCCTGCATCAGACACCCTAAATCGTGCCCTTCATCAGACACCCTACAGTAAATGCACCACAAACAACACAGGCAAAGAAGAAGAAAACGCACGACAAATCTCCTCCAGCCCATCCCACATCATCGTATAGTAAAGGTAAGTGTCCCCTCTGTAGTAAACTGCATCAGGTCGCTAAACTCAAGTAGACACAGTGTACTGCACAGGTCCACAGCGCATACCATAGTTTGGTGTTCCAGATATGATTTTGGAGTTTATATTGGTAGTGTGATAAGTTAGCCAAGGTATCTTTCCAAGAGGCCGCAGTTAATATTCAAGAAGGAGGACTGGAGGACTGATATGGAAGCACATGGGTAGCAATATTCAATTTAAAATGTAATATGCAAAATGACAATGCAATATGTAAAATGGCATTGCATTGTGTATTTAAATTTATATTTTACATTCTAGCAACGTTTGTTGCAAAATGAAAATGAAATTACATAATTTACATTTGCCATTTCATACACTAGTTTTAATATGCATATTGAAATGCTTTATAAGTGTCAAAATTAAAATGAAAATGCATTACAGAAATGATTAGATATGTGTAACATGTTCAAGCAAAAACTGTGGCAAATTTAATGATCATTCAAATGTTACTTTTCTTAATTGCGTTTACACTTACAGTCAAGACACTTGCGATGAAATTAATCAAATTAAATCATGAAATTAATTTTCATTCAAATTGAATATTGCTACCCATGTGCTTCCATAGACTGAAGGCTTTCCTGACTGTAAGCTATTTAAGACGCAGACAAAGAACACACTGACACACACTCGCAAACACACACACAAACACATATAGAGCACAGCACAGTTCTATGCAAAGTGGGGAATGACAGAAAAAGTTTGAGAACCACTGATGTGGAGTGACACTGGGTTAGCTCTGTTATTTTGACATGGGTTAAGATGAGTTGCTGCTGATAGAAATGTGTGGCAATTACTCAGCTCACTGACATTAGTTTATATAATTGTGATAAACTTGACTTACTGTTCACTCCAATAATTTGGTTTTTCTCTATTTTCTAGTGACGCCGCCGGATAATAATGACGGCCTGTGTGCTTTGCAGCCTTTTCCAGGGATCCTTCAGAGGACTAACAATGGTACGATATTTTATGTGTAATGTATGCTACTGCACTTCTTACTCAGAACATCAGACTAAATTAGTAAAAGTATAAATTTGCTTTATTTATTTTTTATTTTGTTTCGTTTAGGTGCTGTGTTAAGAAATCCTACCCAACAAAATTCCACTGAGGCAGATGTAGAGATGACTGCGAGAAACTGGCTGCGGCTGAGGAGGGACAGGAAGCAAGAGGGCGAGCATCTTAAAGTGAAATAATTGATTGGACTGATTTTTCCTGTTTACCTATTTTGGAGGGAATTTCTTTTTGTTGTTGTTGTACTTTTCTATGTGTGATTTGATGAGTGTTAAAATAAATGATACTGCTTTTGCAAAAACAAAAGTAAAAAATAAATGTTCAAGGTCATCTTCCGGTGCTCTCATTTTTATTATTTTTCCTGGAAAACTCCTAGCTTAATTTGCATGACCATCAAACTTAATTTTAATATCACTGATCTATTCATTTTTTATGTTAGACTGACATTTCCCAGGTAGTCAGACTGTGTTTGAAATAGGCTACACCCTACACAAACAATCACTAACTTTCAATTTAACTTTCACTTCAATTTCATTTCAATTTAATTGCAATTGTCAAAATTGTTAGGGAAGAAATGTTACGATTAACAAATCATATTGTTATTGATTGTTGATAGACAATAGGCAACCTGTGTCCTTGGAACAATCTGACAGCAGTTAGCCTAAACAAATCAATAATTAGACATAACGGTGGGATCCTACTAGAGCGGCGAAAAACATTCAGAAGCCTCGTTACCTTTGACTTAACACCGGAACAGCTGATTTTCAAGCATGCTGTGCCCTTTCCAGCGATGCAGACGAAAATCAACTGTTCCAGTATTAAGTCAAAGGGAGCGAGGCAGGCGTCTGAATGTTTTCCCTGCTCTAGTGGGATCGCGCTGAATAGGTCATAATAATTATATCGGGTATACGTTGGCTCACGGTCGGCGATCATGTCGGGTATACGTTGGCTCGCGGTCGGCGATCGTTCTAAAACCACCGTCTTCCCAATGTCTTGCCGATTAGCTACCGATCTCCATAAGACATCTTACCGAGGCACTTTATGTCGGGCAGCCACGCGCGCCCCAACGTCGGCACGATCTAATTTGTTGTCTGGGTATCTGTCATCTTTGCAGTACTGTGCTATGGAGAATAGCACATATTAAGTAACATAGAAAGTAACATATTTTAGCAATAGTGTAAAAATGAATAACACATAACAGACACAACACCGATAAACATGAATATCTATTGGTACAACAAGGATCACATGACTAAACTTACGTCATCGTTTTGAAATACCTCCGGTTTCACTGTCCACACTACAACGCGAAAACGGCGTTTTCAAATTTATCCACTTTGGAGAGCGTTTTCCAAACGATACGTTTTTGTTGACTTAAAACGCCGTCTCAGTGTGGACGGAAGGCCAGAACGGAGAGAAAAATATACGTTTTCAAACGAAAACGTATTAGTGTGGACATGGTCTTGGTCTAGTATATATTCGTCATTCAAAAAGGAAAACCGACGCTGCCGGCTGCAGATACACATAACGTAAACAAAGCAGTGCCTGATTACCTTTTTAAATATCAATCCTGCTGAACACTTTCTTTATTCCACTCCACTCATGTTAATATTGAAATACTACGGTATTCACCAAGGAACACTCAGGTAAGAAGACGTAACATAAGAACAGCCTTCTATCTTTACCGTTTAGACTTCTTTGCTTGCTGTTTTGCTATTATTCTCGTGCACTGACTCTTTCACTAAGTTGACCAGCCAGTCAGAGTTCTCTCTTTCCCGACGGCACAAGACTTATTCAACATGTCGAATCGGGCGAAACAAAGCCGACGAGGACTATCTTTAGCTGACTGCACGGAACCGTGCGTATCACACCAAGGAGACTTAGTTAGCCAACGCACAAAAACTGCCCGACGGCCGACCTTCGGCTTGGTGTGTTCCGGGCTTAACAATTACAGTCCCATTGACTTCATGTGCCAATGCATTGACGAAGTCAGCAGTTGGATGTGAAAATTTTCATCAGCTAATCAAAGACAAAACTGACGTCATTGCCTTTAGAAACAACAGTGAAGATCTCAAGTTGAACGCATACCTTTACGCTAGGGGTCAAACAACTAAAAATATATTCAGGAATCTTGGTTCCTGAGTTCTGATTCTGGACTCCACCTTAGTTTCAGTACTATGTCAAAGCAATAAATAACGCATACTATCACCTGAAAAATACTGCAAGATTTAGATGCTTCGTTTCCAGACAAGATTTACAAAAACTTGTTCACGCTTTCATCACCAGGGTGGATTATGATGTAATAATTGTAATAATTATAATTGTAATGGACTCCTCACTGGCCTTCCCAAAAAGACCACAAGACACTTGCAGCTAGTACAGAATTCTGCCAGGATTCTGAGCAGAACCAGATATTTGAACACACCATCCTCAGGTCTTCACATGGCTCCCAGTTACATTTAGGGTTGGTTTTAAAGTATTTGTTAGAGCTATATTTTTATTTTGGGCTTAAGTTACTTTATAGCCTAATTTATTTCTTTTCTTTTCTTGCAACATGACATGACTTTTGCGTAAACATATACGCCACTTTCGAGTCAGGTGGCGTGTTATCTCTACGCATTTTGAGCTATTCGCGTGTATCCGCGTGTACGCGTATATGTCTACGCCATTAACGTCCACGTCATTCCACGTGTCCGTACACGCGCGTCAAATCTCCAATCATAAATGCCATGAAGCCCAGTGACGGTTAAGTTTAGGGATGGGGTTGAGGTAAGTCATATCTTTTTTTTACCTATGGATGGTAAGGGAACAGTCATAAATGCCATTAACCCCAGTGACGGTTAGGTTTAGGGACGGGGTTGAGGTAAGTCCTATATTTATATAACGTTAAGTCAACGGCGTTCATAAACACGCTCAAAGGCGATTATGCGTCTTGATAGCACGCCAAAAATGGAATGCGTAAAGCCAAACCATGACGTAGCGTCAAGTGGCCATTTGAGAAGTTTATTGGTTTTTTTTTTGTTTTGTTTAAGTTTATGGACAAATAGCCACTACAGTATTATTACTGGTATACAGTAGCTGTGGTAAGCAATTTAGTTATTTTATATTAATTAGCTCACTGTGAGCATATACAGGTTGAGTATGTTATGATGGACAGTGTCAAATGCAGCATTGAGGTCGAGTAGCTACCAGAATGTTTTGCCTTTGTCACTATTTAACCGAATATTGTTTATTTTCTTTATGAGTGCTGTCTCTGTGCTGTGATGTGGTCGGAAACCAGATTGAAAAGTATCCATTCAAGGTTAGGAAGTTGTTAAGTTGATTAAAGAAAACTTTTTCAATTATCTTACCTATGAAAGGAAGATTTGATATTGGTCAGTTATTGCTCAATATGTTGCTATCCAGATTATTCTTCTTCAGGAGGGGCTTGACAACTGCAGTTTTAAGGGATTTTGGAAAGGGAGGGGAAGTGAGGGTTTACCACCCTCAGATCTGCTAGGAGATCTGTTTGTAAGCAGTTTAACACACTTTTGAAAAAGGAGGTGAGATGTGTCAAGAGCGTAGTATATATGTTTTTAAATCCACAAAGGTGATGCACAATAAGGAAGTGATTCATAAATAATATCTCATAACAGTGTCTCCTTTCTCTGCCAATATTCAGCCAGCACCATAATCCTAAGCATCTGTAGTTACAATAGATGCATGATCAGAAATGCATTATCGCTGGGCTCGGAGCTTTGAGGTGTTTTCTTTTGATAGCTTGGACCGTTGGACCATAACATTGGACAAGCAAAATTCTTGATTTTTCTGGATTGAGGCATGAAGAGGATGGACATTTGTATATTTGAAAATACATTTTGCATGTCATGTCAATCCAAAGAATGAGCAGAGATTATAGACGACTGCTGCAACATTATCTGGGTGTAGGCGAAGACAATCAGCAGATATCACATGGAAAACATCTCCCTAAACTGCCGTTTACACATATTCTCTTCGTAGCTGGTGCAGAGAAAATACACTCATGAGTATCAGTTGCTCCCTGGCAAGGGTCCCTAATGGTATGCGTTATAACAGCTGTATTCGCTTCGCTAAGATCGACAGAATGCGATTCCTCTGAAATAGCATCACAGATGGCAAATGGCAGTTGTCGCAATTTCTGTTGAACTTGCTGAACGTCAAGACACGCTTTGTTGAGTTGGTAGCATTAGTCAATGTGGTGTGTTGAACTCATACTGAATAGCTAAGTGGAAAAAAATATATTACTGTTAAATAATAATCAGTAATTTAGGTTTAGCCACAAGAACCATTAGAGTGGAAAAAACAGTAGACATATTTAAAAATAAATAAGCATGCATGGGGCAGAGTGATTTTCATGTGAAACATTCAGTAACAGGCAGCCTCGTTAAGTCTTTAACGTAGGCTGCATTTTAGTCTCTCGTTTAGCATCAGTAAAGTGCATTGCACATGCTTGGGAGGATAGAATAAGTAAACTTACACTATAGTTTTGAGTGCAAGTCAAGATGATTTTCATACTTAGGCATATAACAATGAACAGTCTCCACTTTCCTGATATTTAATTCACATGTAATACTCTCTGTGACAGAATAGACACTCATACTATAATAGCTTATGCTGTACCCTTGGAAACCCTCCCGAATATTGATGTCTGCAAGCACCAATACACATTTTAAGCCATGCATGCTTTTAAAAATATCTTTGTGTCTTGTCTTGTTCAGCGGTTCCCTGCCTGTCTATTAGTCATCCCAGGTGTTTCCCATTAACCATGCCTCCTTGTTATCCTGTCTAGCTCGTTTAGACCTGTAATTAAGCCCTGTGTTTCAGCCCTGTCTTGGTGAGTTCTTGTTTGAGTGTTTACGTGTCTACAGTTACGCTGTTGTTTGGTTGTTCTTTTCCTGAGTTCTGTCCTAGTTTGTGCAAGTTTAGAATCAAATTAATTAAGTGTGCTGAAACTGGATTTTGCTTCATCTGTGAGTCAACCAACACACACTTAACTTGACAGAGTTTGTAAAGAATTGCGGGGTGTAAGCAGGCATAGCCATCTTTGTCACAGTTGCATTTAGTATGTCCTTTTAGCAAAAGATAAAGCTCAATTGGATATAAAAATAAGGATATAAAAGTGTACACAACATATAGCCACAGTATCTCCATTCCTTTATTTATTCCCTTTCTCTCTCTTGTCCCACTCTTCATACATGGTTCAAATCATACTCTACTCCCACCTAGTGGCATAAAGCTGCATTCACCACTGAAGTCCATGAGATACATATTGTGGTATAAATAGTGTGGGTGTGTGGTGTGGGGTTATCTTA